ACACAGCCAGAAGGATCAAGAACAATCAGGGAAATAGTTTATCACCAAAAGTATTAAATCAGTTTTATTTTAACCACCCTATTAGGGTGAGAGACTGACTCTAAATAAATAGAAAGTATGTCCTACTGAACAAATAATTTAAAATATCAGTCCTAAGGAATCTCAGCAAACTTCAAGAAAACAAAATGAGAAGAACAATGTGACCAGAATGAGAAATTAAATAGAAATTGGAAATTTTAAAAAAATCAAACAATTTATGAAGCTGAAAAAATACATTGAAAAAATTTTAAAAATTCAGTGGACAGTATCAATAGCAGAATAGATCAAACACAATATCTGTGAACTTGATAGGTTGTTTAAACTCTCAGAAAAGAAAAAAAATAGAAAGGAATAAAGAAGCTTATGGGACTTATGGGATGGCTTCAAAGGAAGAAATTTTGAGTCTTTAGAGATGGGAAAGATAAATATAAAGAGATATAAAATTATTTAAAGAAATAGTTTCATGAACCTTTCTATAGCCAAAGTAAGATATAACTATCCAGTTAAGGGAGGTCAAAGATCTGTAGTTAGATTTAATTCAAATAAGACTACCCTGTGGCATCATAAGCAACCTGTCAAAATTCAAATACAAAGAAGATTCTGAAATCAGTAACAGAAAAGCAAATGACACATAAAGGCGTTTCAAATCAACTACCAGAAGACGTCTCAGCAGAAACCCTACAGGTGAAGAGAGAGTGAGATAATGTATTCTAAGGGCTGACACAAGGACACTTTCTCCACAAATATTGTACCGAGGAATGAGGAATGTTGTCCTTCAGAAATGAAGAGAAGATAAAGGCTTTCTCAGGGAAATAAAAGAGGAAGTAGTTCATTACCACAGAAGAAATGCTAATGGGAATTACTGAAGTTAAAAGAGAAGCACACTGCACTAGTGAGCAATTCAAACAGGCAACACTAGAAGACTCACTGGTAAAAGGAGGTAAAGTCAAATTTAGAACACTCTAATAGTTTAATGGTTTGTAAATCACTTTTAGTCTAAAAGTTAAGAGACAAAACTGTTACAAATAATAGGTACAATGATTTGTTAAGGGAAGTGTATTATAAAAAGATGTGGTGGAAACATAGAGGAGTAAAAATGAAGAGGATTTATTTTTATTTTTACTTTTTTGACTATGATATAGTTAAATTGTCATCAATTTAAAAGTAACTTGTTATAGCTGGGCATGGTGGTGCATGTTATGTTATCTCAGTGACTTAGGAGGCTGAGGCAGGAAGAGTGCAATTTCAAGGTCAGTCTTAGCAACTTTGTGAGACCTGGGGTCTCAAAATAAAAATAAAACATAAAAAGGAAACTTGGAGGTAATGAGCCCCGGGGTATGATACCCAGTCTCAAAACAACAAACAAACAAACAGACAAAAACTTGTTATATAATAATATAAAAAAAATCTTGTTAAGATTTTTTTTTGTAAGCCACATGGTAACCACAAAACTAAGACATGGGGCTTGAAATTTAACTTTATGGTACAGCAACACAACAGAAATACAAAGAATCCTAAGAAATTATTATGAAAAATACATGTCAACAAAATAGATAACATAGAAGAAACACAAATTCATTGATATAACCTTCTAATATTGAATAATTTAGAAGTAGAAAATCGGAATAGATGCAATACAAGTAAGGAAAATTCAGTCCACAATGTCTTCAAAGAGCAGCTAAGGAGCTGATGGCTTCAATGCTGAATTCTTTTTTCTCCACAATTTTTAATTGGTGCATTATAGTTGTACATATTGATGAAATATGTTATTGCATATTTGTACATGCATACAACATGATGTTCTTTGGCTTCATCCATTTTCCTGCAGATGCCATAATTTTATTTTTCTTTGTGACTGAATAAAACTCCATCGTGTGTGTATGTATGTATGTATATATAACATTTTCTTTATCCATTTATCTGTTGATGGACACCAAAGCAGTTTATCATTTGGCTGTTGTGAACCGTACTGCTATAAACATGTTATCACTGTAGTAAGATGACTTTAAATCTTCAGGGTAAATACCTAGAGGATGGTAAAGCTGGATCACTGCCAAATTTTACTAAACATTTAGAGAAGACTAATACCAATTCTTCTCAAATGCTTCCAAAAATTTGAAAGGGTACTTCAAAACTTATTTTATGAAGTCAGCCGTACCCTCATACTAAAGCCAGATAAAACAAAACAAAATCCAAACAAGCCCCAAAATAAACAAACCAAACTACAAAGAATAGAAGAAAAGAGAACTTTAGACGAACATATCCAAATCATTCCCATCATTCACCATGATCAAGTGGGCTTTATCCCAAGGATGCAAGGATACTTCAATATATATATAATATATAAAATAATGAGACACATCACAGAATGAAGGAAAAAAACCAATGATCATTTCAATAGATGCAGAAAAAGCTTCTGACAAAAATACAACATTCCCTTCTAATAAAAACCTGAGTAATTTAGGTATAGAAAGATTGTACCTGAACATAATAAAGGCCATAGATGACAAACTCTCAGCTAATGTCATACTTATGAGGGATAGTTGAAAGTTTTTCCTCTAAGATCTAAAACAATGTAAGGATGCTTACTTAATCTACTTCTTTATTAAACATAGTACTAAAATTCCCAACTAGAGAAGAATTGAGAGAAATGAAAAGCATCCAAATTTGTAAGTTTTAAAATATTTCTGTAAACAAACATAATTTTATATATAGAAAATCTGCTAAAACTACCGAACTGCTTGTTAGAACTAATGAATGAATTTTAGTATAAATTCAGGATACAAAATCAAGAAGCAAAAATAAGTTGTATTTCTTCATACTAACAGTGAATTATCTGAAAAAACAATCCAGAAAAAACAATTCTAACCAACAGTTATTAAAAATAATGTAGGAATAAATATAACCAAGGAGGTGAAAGATCTCTAAACTGAAAACTATAAAAGTGATGAAACAAGTTAAGCAAATAGATTGAAAGATAACCTGTGTTTATGATTGGAAAGTTAATATTGTTAATATACCACACTACCCAAAATGACATGCAGATTCAATGCAGTCCTTGTTACATAAACCTAGACACATTTATTCTTCACAGAAATTTAAGAAATCTAAAATACACATGGAATCATGAAAGGTCTGAAGTAGCCAGACAATCTTCAGAAAACAAGAAAGCTAGAGGCCTCATACTACCTAACTTAAAAATCCAATACAGATTTATAGTGAACCAAACAAC